TCCCCAAACTACTGGAGAGATCTTAAATATGCACTTGCTACATCACTTATGGATCTTCTTGTTTAAAGAAGTTCTCTGGGAAGTAAAAAGAGATTTCACGGGCAGATTTTTTTAAACATTGCTTTCTCCATTTTGCCTCTATTGTTAGGACAGCTAGAAAACACAAAAAGAAGTGTGCATGTTGATGCATTAATATGGATCAGAGAAACCAGGTCATGCTTTATAGTTTTGCCAGAAGAATCTCCCACAAAATAGACTGACATGTTAGAAAAGTTGGAAACAATGACAGAGGTTTTAAATTCTCAAATTAATTCCATCAAGGCAAAGTGGTCTCCATGGAATATAGCCATTAGATTACATAAGCTTTAATTACCAGCCAGAGTTGACTTGTGACTCTTACTTGGAAATTACATGTTATCCATTTTATTTAATTTAGATTTCCACTTGGTTTGCCTTATTCTACTTGTTCTAAGAAAAAAAAAAGTTCATTATTCATACAGCAATTTGTAACATAGTATTATATTCTGATCTTAAAAATGTTTAGACATATGCTTAACTTCGAGGTTATAAACAGCCTTCTTAAAGGAAAGAGGCTACTTCATATTATAAAGCTTTTGTCTAGTTGACTGGTTTTGTTTACAAAACCACCCCCAGCCCCATTACTGCCACTAGTGCTATAGCATCGATGGAAGCACTGCTAAAGAAATAAGTGCACTGACTTCTCTGAAGAAGAGGGACTAAGATAGCAGGGAAAAAACAAACAAAAAGGCACAAAAAACCAAGCCAGTATTAGCTGGCACAAAAGAGAAGTTAATTTTTCACAGATTGTCAGGTTGACCCAACAGCCAGCAACATGTTGTAACTGTGTAATTTTGGTCTTTCTTTGTTCCCAAATGAAACATAGTGTTTAGCATGTCCTTGGAAAATAAAAGAGTGCATTAAAAACCATTTTACCTCTTACTCAAGTTAAGATTTACCTGAGCAGGGAAAGAAATGGTCTTTGCAATATGAAACATAATTGTGGGCTGTTTCTGTGGCCCTCTAAGCTTTACAATTTTCAGAAATGGAGTAAAACACTGAAAGTCACCAATTAACTTGGATCAATAGTTGCAAAAGATTCAAGGATAGTTATCAGCCACAGGAAACTGCTTCAGTTTTTAAAAAGAAATGCAGGTGCCTTTTGCATACTACTATAAGCACTGTTTACAAAACTACTTGCATTTGATTTTGCCCATTTGACCCAATATATTTAGTTTTTAGTGTTTAGTCTTTTGGTTTGGGAAAACTAAAATTACGTTGTACTTAGCACGCAGTGGTACGAGCTTGGCTTGTGTTAAGCTGGCTCAGAGATAATTTTTTTTAGCCTGCAATGGATTTATAAAATCTGTCATAATTGGGAACTAGATGTGCAAGAAAGGAAAGCAGGAAAGTTGCAGACTAGGACTGAGTGCTCATTCTACAAGCCTCCCTCTGTGCAGTGTTGCCAATGCATATTTATCAGACTGTAAACCCTGCACTATCCCAGCTCAGCTGAGTCTCCTCCCGAGAACAAACTGTCAGTTATGTCAAACTGGGTGTTAAAAGCTGCTGGGATTTTGTGGCTGGAGCATACGTTTTCTAAAGACAAAACTGGAATCAAGCTGCTTTACCACTGGGAATGAAACGCATTTCTGAACTCTGGTGTCCTTATGTGGAATCAACCACACTACCCCTTTCCTCTCCTCTTCCCACTCTCTGGAATCTGAAGGAAGATATAGTTTCTCAAATGGTCTGAACAAGTAGCTTGCCTAACTCTCGTGATATATGCTATGACTACAATCAGAAACTTGCTTTTTTAGACCTGTGGGAAGCTGAAATGTTCAACATGCAGAATTTGCTGTACATTCATGCAAGAGAGAAGAGACAGCACACTCCATCTATAGAAACTCCTGTGGCTTTTATCCTTAATGACCCAGCACTCCTGCTGTTTTGTGTCTCTATCTAGCACTCTAGCTCAAAGTTGGGGGTATAACAAATATGTTAATATACCCTGGGAGTAGAATGACATGGCCTCCTTTTCTCAGAGCTTTCCTGATAGCAAAGTAAGAATTTCCTACAGAAGTAGGGTCTCATTTTGTATCAAAATGCACTGTTAAAACATGCTTTAATTACTAAACAAGACAGAAATGCTAAAAACATCACATGACATCACATGAATTCCAGATAGATTCACTGAAATCAGTGCTCTTACAACAAACACCAAGTGAGGTGCAGGAGGACAGGTGAGGATATTAAGCCTGGTCTGAGGGGTCACTTGTTTAACCAGTAGATTGTATTCAGGATATATTCAAGGAAAAACAAAATCTCTTTGACAATGTTTGGAGGCATGTTTGTTCTGTTCTTGCAAAACTATATTTGAGATTGAATGTGGTGATCCTACAAATGCAGGACCAGTAGCCTAACTTTAGAGATTAGGATAGCAAACTTCCTGTTAAGTAAACTTCTCCATTGGAAACATACAGTACTTTCAAATGTCTGCTTTGCTTGGCTTATTGGACAATGCCAGCTAGGATGCACTCCCTGGTGCACATTTAGGGGTTAGAAGAAGAGACATCTCCATGCCTGTTTTCATTGATGATCCTGAGTCAGATGGTAAACTTGCGGCTGACATCACGAAGCATTCACTATCTGCACCAACCACTTCCAACTCTCCTAACTCAATTCTCCTAATGCAGTAACCTGTCTCCATCTTTCATATGTACAATTAAATAGATCCTAGCAACTACAAGAAGCCTTCTTTCCAATCATCATAATTTCTGAAGTGCATACAAGTCTCCAAGATAACACTGTTTGCACGTGGTAACCAATGCAAGGAAACTTGGTTCTAAATCAATGTTCAGCTGAGTTTGTTGCTTCTTTGTTGTTTATTCTCCATCCTTCCTCACAATTGCCACTCCAAAGATAAAGATCCAAGAAAGAACTGCTACTGAAGCATGGCCATGTAGACATAGCATCAACTGATGCTTAAGAAGCCTGTATTTTCTAGAAGATAAGAAGAATTGCCTGTAAGAAGCTCTGTCTCTTTTTTGAGAAAGTATTCTTTTTCCAGCAAACAATTTAATGCCTAGTGAGAAAAGCTAGTTCTAGGCAGGAATGGACTTAGATTTGCCTTTAAGCATGTCTTGAGCAAACAAGGGAGATAGGTTATCTTGAATGTAACTAACTGTACTAAAGCTTCATTAGCTACATTGGACTTTATCTTGATCACCTCTGCCGAGGTAGAAAAATCCTTTGAGATGAGTAGTAGTACTAGCCAGACAACAAATATGCTCTTGCTAAGAGCAGAATCCAGACTTAGAAATACCAATGCTAATTCCCTTTCTTTTGGTTTCATATTTTAATTAACTATTATTTAATAATTTAATTACATAGCAGAATTTTTTATAAATTTGATAATTGCTCAGATGAGTTGCTTATGTAAAAGAGGGACATTTTCTTTAAGTAACACAGAGAGAAGCAGTTTAAACCTTTGAGCTGTGAGATTCCTATTATTTACAGAACATTTGGAAATATACTGATTAAAGTCTTCTCAAAATGGATCCAAGTACTAGGAGAGAAAAACAAGCAGAAACTAACCACTGGGATAACTTGTGTCACCACAAAAATACGATTTTCCATGAAATCGCTTAGAAACAACAATCAAAATAGACAAAACCTCCCCACATCCTTGCAATATAAAGTCAGTTTACACTGAATAATTCAAACCTCTAATTGGAAATAGATATAGTTTTAAAATATAACAGAATTTTAACATTCAGAAAAATTCTCCACAGAAAACTACACAGATTTTTACTGTTGTTTTGCTTTTGTTATGTCTATTTTAGCACTGATTTTCTGCTTCTAGCCCTCATCTAACATGAATATGCTACTTCTCAAAAGACTTGCAAAGGCTATGTGTTGATAGTGGAAGTTGCTGTCATATTTTGGCGGTTAAATGGTATTTACCAAGTCTTCTTCTGTATTGGATAAGGTGAGAATTTATATTATTTTACGAAACTTACCACAAATGGTATAAAACAGTGTACTAAAACCATTGTAAAGGAGTGATTACTAAGACTTCCAGCAGAAGACTGGAGGCAAATATAAGGAGCAAAATGTGGGGCTGGAATGCCCCACTCATACTAGCTGTAAGATATCAGCGCATGGCATGAACAAGAGTCATCCCCCGGCATAAAATTATCTTTCAAATAAAGCAGCATATTGAAACTACCTCCTGTTCATACTGTAAGCATATTTTATTAGTCTAGTTGTCCTGTTTGAGTCAAACAGTCTGATCACTTCCCTATTTTAATACACTTTCTGCAACATTACTGGAAAACATCTCTTGAGAGATATTTCTAAACTGGACAAGGGATATACACAGTTTAATGGGAATTCTCTTTTTCTAGAGCTGCTGTCTATTAAGGGTTATCTTGTCTTCATTGTGCATTTATGCCCCTCAATTTTGGGATCTAACTGTGCTCCATGTGCTAAAACCAGGTTGCAAGAACTTCTGAGCGGCTGCAAGTAGCTGTTTTAAAGCCAGAATAACCAATCTGACTTTAATGAAATAGTACATACTGACTGTAATAACAGTGTTACTTAAAAAACAAATGTCTAAATTGGAAGCTGGGATATCATTTACACCTTGCCATAAACCGATGCCAGAAATAGGCTAAATGAATACAATGCTGTTATTACTATTATTATTATGTTACAGCATTCAGGACTGTGCAGATGCTTTACAGTAAAGATAGATACTGTCTCTAAACACACAATGCAACAGGAGTAGCAGGTGGATCTCTGATCACTCTAATTCACTGTAGAAATCTTCACACAGGTGAATATTATTTGTGGTGATCACAAATTTCACGCTTCATTCCTTCCAAAGAAAAAGCAATCAGGGAAGGGAATCCAAATAAAAAGAGCTTACTTAGTCGTAATCAGATATACAATACACAAGAAAAGAAAACCAGCTTTACCTGTGAAATAAGACAGACTTGACAAGTGTGACAACATCCCGACTGGCATTGTACCCTGCACAAACAATGGCAACGTGGATAGTCTGTGGGAGAAAAGGAACAAAAAGAACAAAAATGAAAGTCTGCTCCTGTGTTCTGTCATTTACTAAGGAGAGCACATACATGACAGTGCTATTATTTAGTGCAGCGATTGTTAAAGATTTGAGTGGGTGTTTTGCAGCTGTTTGCAGCCCACTTGAGGCAGTTTGTTAAAAACATCTTAATTGATTTTAACACCATCATCATTCCAAAGTCATTACTACCCCTAAATTACATCATATGTTTGAACAGAACTGCATTTATTAGCTAAGAGCATCTGTGATTAAGTATGTACACGCCCTCCCCAAGTAAGCAGCACACACAATTCTGAGTATGCAAACACACGGACATTTTTAATCTTCTCAACTAAAGTTTAAAATTATGACTGATAATTAGAAGCAGATATGCTCTTAGAAATTTTGTACAATTTCTTCCTTATGCACAGCCACTAAGGACAGGCTGAGCAAGCTCTCGTGGATGAGCATGACTAGGACAATTGGTTTGCCAGGGCTGGATGCATCCCAGTGATACGATGGGACACAAGCTGTGAAGACAGGTAGCCACCTCCTTGACTGTGACTACCAGTATGGGCTGCACTGGCAGTGTTAATATGATGTTAAATACAACCCCCACAAACACATTCTCTCCACCTCATGACACTGATAAATTATCACTTATTCTGTGCCTTCTTACCTCCCTTTTAGGGTGAGGCAGAGGTGGGAAAATTGAAAAGGGGCTACGAATCATTATTATTTATGCAGTAAGTACTAATCTGAAAAATGTGTTACATTACTCTGCTCTGGTTTTAAAATCAGCCATTTTTATTCCCTAAGGACAAAAGAAAATTAACCCTAGCAACTTCTGACTCCAAGTTCTGTAATACTGAGTTTCTTAGTGGTCACAGAAATGAAGGAGAGTTCACCACGCTGGCAGCACAAAGCTGCCATTGGGACACAGCTGTGAAACTGCAGGGAAGCCTCATTTGGCTTCCATTTGAAGCTTGGTTAGCTGGTTTCTCACGCACACATCTCTCATTTTCCACAGAATGCTCACTATGCTGAGAACAAATGAGGAATTCTGTCTCTTCACACAGTCATAGGTTCCCAAAGCCTGGCTTATAACAGAAGCAGATTTACACAAGAGGTGGCATGTGTTGGGCAAATCTAAAGAGTCCACAGCCCCATCCATTAACATTACCTAGTATAGGGCACAATTTTAATCATAAAACTGCCTAGTGGCTGTGCCATTGTGGAACATCCACGTGAACACTGCAGCTGCCTCCAGCCCTAGAGTGTGTTTCACAAGCTGTGGCACATTTAGGATCTGAGATTTTAAGAGGACTTGCATTAATAAGACAACTGTCTGTCCAGAGAGGCGTGAGAAAGAAAAGATATTGCAGTATATTTTGGCAAAAGCTCTGTGAGGTACTAGCGCATTAAATTTATGTTAAAGTCAATGGGAGTTGAGCATGCTCAACACTTTGCAACAACTGTGTTTCTCTCTTGTGATAAGAGGGGAGAACAGAGGCTGCTTATTAATGACTTTTATTGCAGCGGGAGTTTGTACTGTACTCATGAGCATGGGTTCCTATGGGTGTACTCACTCCTGATACTGCACACACTGCCTCCTCTCTGCCACCTGGTCCTTCTCAGGCTTTTGGAAGACCTAAGGTCCTTCCCTTCAATGCCAGTTAAAATCAAATTAATTGAGAATCATGCCTGCTTTAAACATTTCACCTGAAGACACTGGACCAACACAAACATTTTAGGGGGTTTGACAGAACAGCACTGTCATATCACTGTCAACATCATTCTATACCACCTCTGCTTGGCAGAAACACTCTCCTTACAGTCTCTCTCCACCTTACAACTCCCCTAAAAATTAGTTTATTCTGTCAAGGACTTTCCCACATCTGTACTCCTTTTACTAAATGAGTTTGTTTCAGAATTGAAAGCATTCTTTCCTCACTGTCGTCTAGTAGTTGCTGTTGCCTTGGATGCTGTTTCAGCCAGGGCACAGTACATGCTACTCTTCTGAATGTTCTTTTCCAGTTCAGAGACACAGGCATCCATGTACCTTCTGCTCAGCCTCTCTGCAGTGTTTGATATTTTATATCACTTCTACTCCTGCCTGCAATCAGTTATACAAAAGAGCCATAATCCTCAAACAGAACAGAAATCTAGACCTTTTTTCCCAAGTTTCTGCCTGCAGCATGCTGCAAGACTCAGTCTGTTCCTTTCCTTTTCCTGATTCACTTTCCTCTCCTTCATTGTCTAACTGTTAAACAAAGTCAGTGGGGAAACAGATAAGCCAAAATGAAGTCATCAACCTGAACTGTCTGCAGATGCTTGTATCCTAAGGGAAAAAAAGTATTTCCAGTTTTCTCCACGTTTGTTCCAAACGCACATTTGGATAGCGAGCAGCTGGCTATAGCCAAATTCTAGCAAGATAGGACAACAGTAGCTGGAAGAAGGAAGCACCTCAAAGAATTTGCATCCTCCTGAGTATACTACTGTAAGCATCAGCTCCCAGACTTCAAAAAAGTTCTCTCTCAAAGTCTTCTTTTCCATCTGCAGATGGCTAGAAGATTGTATCTCCCCAGAACTGGCCACTGTGATTTACACAACCTCTGGACTGAATACTGCAGCCAACACCTAGGAGTGAAGCCACATAAGCAAAGAATGCTCCAACTGCCATAAAGTGCATCAGCCTGCCTGACTGGCTCAACATGGCCCATCAAACCTCTCACACCAAGGCTCTGCATGCTCCTTACTGATGACAACATTACATGATAATTCTAGATAATTCTAGTCACATTCTAGCTGGGATATTCAGAAGTCACTGTGGGTCTAAAGTGAGCTCCTTTGAAATGTTCATCCTCCTACAATGCCCACTTTAAAGTGAATGATAGACATGTTCACCGCTTGTTTCAAGAAGTCTAGATTCAGGCCATTCACTGGAGATGGTTTTGGATAATGTAACTCACTGCAGCAACAGATGAAATGATGATACATCCTGCTTTCCAGACTCAATCAATTCTTACTCTGTTTATATATATAGATATGAGTAGGTAATCAAAACACTGCAGAAGTTCTTCACACAATTCTCCCTACAGGTTGAGGATCAGGGACACAAACAGAACTATTTTTAATTGTAAACAGTTTAGGGAGCACTCAGGTCCAAGTACTTAAGAAAGTACTTGGTACTTAAAGAAGTTAAGCTTTTTTAGGAAAGGGAGTTTAAGTCATACCAAGGTGCATGCTAACATAGTTTAGAAATCCTTCAGCCACTACAGACTAGGAAAATCTGCTTCTGAATGCAGTATTTCATGTAAGGCTATTCTGGGATAACATTAATGGGAAGAAGATACCCAAAACCACATGAAGAACTGGGCCTTAGATCCCATATTGATGAGGAGTATATGATGCCTAGATAAACAAATGGTATTTTTTTCCTCCTTGGGCTACTTTTGGAATTATGAAATAATGAGTTTTACAAACTCTAATTAGTTCCTATAGTTAAAAATAATCTTTGGTAAAACATTTCATACTTCAATAACTTTCCAGTAGTGATAGCTAGGCCTTCCATAGTAGATATTTAATCCTTCATAAATAATTGTTGAATGTGATTAAGAGATATTAAAAGTATGTTACAAAATGCTTGTATTTGTAGCATATTTGTAAATATACTACAAAGAGTTTTCAGAAGCAGGTAACATCTGCTTTTCCTGTGTTACACTGTTTAAGTTGGTGAGGGCCTGTTTTTAGTGGCTGTGGAGCACTACACACTTAACCCTATTGAACAACACTGCTGAGAACAGTGACAATAAAAATTTGCCTGTAGAAATGCTTCAAATGTGAAGTATTTTGCTAATCCACTAAATGGTATACTACTAATTACCAATTTCCTAATATAAAATCACTTTTTAAAATATTTATAATTGCACACTTAATTCCAAGTACATGCCCCATAATGGGGGCACAAGCTGGAAAGATACTGTGATAACATAGTAAGAAAGAGGCATATAACTGTGTTAGCTTCTGTTGGCATTATGCTCTCCTTCTGAAGCCTGTTGTGTGTGCTGACATCTGTGTAAGGGCTACTTGTACTTTTATTTTCAAGGTTTGTGTTTAAATTGTCTACTACTGGGAAGGCATGACAAGCTTCTGCTCCCTCCAGGGAAAAGTCCCTTGGTTGGGACTCTGATCTTTTCTTGCAGTGTAATGATAGTCTGTTTTACAATATCAGAAGAGCTCTCCTGTGATGCAACAGAGTAGGAAGCTGTGGCTGGAATGCAACAAACCCACAGCTATTTGATATAGATCACAATTATTATCATACAGATTATGCTTTATCAGAGATTTAATGTTCATTCATTGTAATTGAATTTTCAAATGTTTTAATCATCATTAAAGACCATCTCAAATTAGATTCTGAAATGTTATCTTTAGTAAATCTCTAAGAGCAGACTCAATGAAATGAGTCTTAGCTCTCTTAGTCTCCCACAGAGCCCCAGTCTTCTTCTCAAGAACCCTGGTTCTTTACTACCCAACTTGCTGACTCTTGTTGTGATATATTCCAGGGTCAGAAACTAAAAAAGATTTAGTTTGTACATCTGAAACACTGAAAACAGAGAGTGATTGGAGTCAAGAAACCCCTCACACAAACACAGAACAATATCATCTAAAATAATAGGATAAATGATGAGACCCTTGGCAAATCTGATAATAAGGAAGTTTAATTTTAACTTCCATTGCTGTTACTGAATTACTGAGTGAATTCCCTGGGAAAAAGAGTAAAAAGCTATTTTGCTATCAAAATAGTGTGCAGTGAGGTAGGGGGATGGCAAACAATGTCAGATTTTGTATTTTATATAACCATTGCCTCCAGCACAATGCTAAACCCCACTGAGCAAGTAAACTTATTGGCAAAACACATTATGAACTGCAAGGCCATTTAAACTATTCCTACTTTAAGCTGCTATTTTGTGTTCCAAATTGGTTGGTACATTGAACAACTGAACTGAGATTCAACTCATCACTCCTTGGCATAATAATAGGGGAGAAGTGAGGTTTGCTTATTGATGGCCTGAGCCTTCGCTGATTAAAAGAATTGCCAAAATGCTCTCAGTGAGGAAAATCAGACCCTCATTATCTGGAGGAGGGAAAATGAAAAACAAACCCCTCTTTTTCCCTCTCCTTACAAAAATGTTGCTTCCTTTTTTCCACACTGAAGGACGAAGATAACCAACTGGGAAGCAGTAACTAATTCGTAAGCTGTATTTGATATTTTCCCATTGAATAGAATTTATCTCAAAAGAGAATTAGGACTTATTTTTCCTCTCCCATTAATTGTCTTTCAACTTTTATCTTTGAGTGGCAAAAAGCAAGATAAAAGGTGATAAGGTATTACCTTCTTTGTAGAAATAAATGGAGGAAGCTACTTTTGATACCTTCATCATCTGAGATTGGCACAAGGCCTTTAAGCAAGACTTTCTGTTTGGTATCTATCCATATTTGGACCTGTCACCATTCAGACATCTGACAACTAAATATCTGGATGACATCCACAAAACTACTGGCATAAAATGGGGAAAACCAAACCAAAAAAAAGCCCACTCCAAAACCTTCTTAGGAGATCTCCTGTTCCCTGCAGCCAATCACACTGTGCACAGCTCATGCAAAGCAGGTGGTCCCACAGTAACACCCAGATACACTCCTGAAAGTGAGTCAAAAGCACAGGCTGGCTCCATAAGCCACAATTTAATTAATCGTAAACCCTGAACTGTTCCAGTACAGAGACACAAACAAAGGAATAAGGCTTTTCTAAGCACCGTGGAGCTTTCATTTAACTTAAAAACACATGGGGTCAGTTTGCCACAGGTCTTTATCAGCACAGCTTTACAGATTGGAACAAGGCTTTGATTTTTATACCAGGTTTGGGGACACAAGAATGAAAACGACAAAAAACTGTGATGAAATAATAACTCAGAAGATATTCCGATGATTAAATGTTTTAAAGTTTAAAAGAAAAAGAATAATTAAAAATTATCTAAAACGTTCCAGTCAGTAAATCTTTAAGAGGCTGGTTTCTGAGAATAAAGTTTCAGGGTGAAGGAGATGGGTGCAGTGTCCTTAACAGATCACATCTATCAAGTTTTGTTTCTGGCAAGTTCCTTCTGTTTATTTACCTCGCACTTTTCCACTGCTGGTTGCTGCCCACACTCGGAGCTGTTCCCTGCCACAATGCCAGCCCGCAGGCTCTCGCTGTCACCTGTCCCCTCTTCCATGGAGTAGGTTTTGGAGTGATTGCCATGGTGGTGAGAGGGGCTGCGACTCTGTGCCAGGCTGAGCTGCTTGCGCAGCACGCGGTTCTCCTCCTCCACCTCCCGCATGCGGACTTCCAAGCTCTCGCGCTCCCGCTGGCTCGACGCTGTGTACCGAGGACTGTGGGGCTGGGATTCAAGTGGAGACAGTGACACTGGCTTCCCATCTGCAAGAGAAGGAAACAAACCCCTTCTGTCAGAATATACTTGAAGTTGCGTTTTCCTTTCATGCCGGCATCGTGAGGCAGGGATGTCACTTGTCACTTCAAGGCAATGCTTAAGTGAGTGGTAAACTTGGACAAATGCTAAAGTTCTATGAACTACAGGTCCTACTAATTTTAAAACCACAGTAAAAGATAAGCATGTGTTTCATTTGTTCTGCACAGGGCTGCCTGCCAGTCTCTAGTCTGGGAAGACAGTCAAGAACATGAGGATTTAATTCAAAGACAATTAATATACAGTTAAATATATTTTAGAAATGTATGCAAGATGAAATAATTTTCCTATTCCCCATTTCCTCCACAGTCAAATGACAGCATTTTGGCAACCATTTTCTGCCAAACAGCAGCCCCAGCTGATTCACATGTGAGGAGCAGATGGGTTTTATTCAGCAACATGGTATTATGTGCTTGTTGAGAAATAAGAGGTTCAGAAGGACAGAAATGTTGAATACACATGTGGGTCAAGTTCTGGAAAGAATTTTGGCGGAAAAAGACACAAGGGAATTTTGAAAAAAGTAAAATGGTTCAATTCAACACCTTCAATTAAAAAGCTGTAATCCAGAAATACGAAATCGGTGTTTTCTTTATTCAAATAAGCATTGAAAATGAGCTAAAGTATAATAAAGAGAAGGTGTCTGAAACTAGGGTCCATAAATAAAGCAATACATTCTACCATCACTTCTCAGTACATTTTTGCTACCAAATTTCAAAAGAGCAAATAGGGATGCAGCTGATGTGTTCTCATATAACTTTAATAAAGATATAACTACCTACACAGAGAGTACAAATGTTTGAAAACGTGTAGAAAACCCTCACGCTAAATCACTGTTCAGAAATGTTCAATTGAAATAAAATTGAAACAAAAGACAAAGAGAGTTATCCACAGTGTCATAATTAGCAAGATGTTCCTTTTCAGTGAAGATATGTGAGTATCTTATAATAAGGTATTTCTCTGACACAACTTTCTACTTGCACATATTAAATAATAGAATAGTGGAACTGTTAAGGTTGGAAAAGCTTTCTAAGAATATCGAGTCCAACTGTCAACCCAGCATCATGTGCCACATCCACATGTTTTTTGAATGCTTCCAGGGATTGTGATTTCACCACTTCCCTGGACTGCCTATTCCAACACCTGACCACCTTTTCCACTAAGTCATTTTTCCAAGTATCAAATCTAAATCTCCCATGGCACAATTTAAGCCATTTCATTTCATCCTGTCACTTGTTACCTGAGAGAAAAGACTGACCCCCACCTGGCTACAACCTCCTTTTAGGTTGTTATAGAGAATAAGGTCCCCCCTGAGCCTCCATTTCTCCAGGCTAAACAACTCCAGTTCCCTCAGCTGCTCCTCCTAGGACTTGTGCTCTAGACCCTTCACCAGCTCTGTTGCCCCCCTCTGGACTCGCTCCAACACCTCAGTGCCCAGAAATGAACACAAGATTCAAGGTGTGGTCTCACCAGGGCCGAGTACAGGGGAGTGTTGGCTATTTAATGCTTTTTTCCAATGCAGAATTTCTTTGGTTTTATCAAGTGAACACCAGTTTGAGCAGTTTACAAGATGGAAATCATGCAGTTATTGTTTAGAAGTTCCTCCTAACAAGTACATTTCTCACCTGCCAACTCCAAACTATCTCCCTGCTATAAAGACCTACTCATTGCTTGTTCTCTACTATTATTTCACATTTACATGAACAGTGAGTAGTCCTCTAAACTCAGTTCATGAAAAGAGAAATGGCTATAGAAATCAAAATCTCAATTCTAATTTACATTGCAGACTTATACAGGTATACACACTTCCTCTTATGTATATAAATCACTATCCTGGTTTTTATACATAATTTGGATAGAATATCTTGCATTTTCTAGCAGACAGTCTCCCGCAAAATTTTTCTAATTTATTATTTTTACCATTAGCAAAGCTTATGGATAAATTTGAGCTTGAAAAGTGTCTCGAGACAGATTCTGAAGTTTGACCACTGTTTTTGAAATTTGAATGCTCCAGCAAATAATTATTAAAAATTAAATGAGAGATTTCAAAAGCCTGAAAATAATAGGTGCAACAAGAGAGAAATGTCAACATAAAGGACAGAGCCATGTTACAATTAGACATGCAATAGAATACTGAGTTATCTTTCTCCATCCAGCTTGGAAGGCACGGAACTGAAGCTGGAAGACTGAAACTCATTTGGGTGTGATTACATTGCATTCCTATTAGTGGACAGCAAGAGTGTATTGTGTAGACACTCTCAGATAAAAACAGCACCTCTACTCACCCATACAACAACTAATGTGTTATCATCAGATACACTATTATAATGCAAATGTAGCCAAAGACTTCACTGGCAATCATAACTCCCCCTCAGTGAATATCCAGAGTGACACAGATGTTCCTTATCACTTCCTAACCTTGCCACTGAATTCTGCTTCCTTCTCAAATAATTACCAGAGAAGGTAGCAAGGTATGGAAGTAAATCTCAGGACGACATTCATCAAGTTTTCAAAGCATGGAAAAAATTTAAATGTCTCTTTAGCTATTCTACGGACATAAATCAATAGGTCATAAATGTTACTTTGCCAAAATTAAAACTTTATAAGTTTTCTGTCTTTTAAAAAGGATACCATTTTGTACAAAGGATATCCTTTGTACAAAGGATACCATTTGTACATAGGAAAGCTGAACTGTTTATACACAATATTTAGAAGAAACACCACAGTCTGAGAAAGGAACTGAAAGAATGTATCACCTCACTACCTCAGACTGGAAATTGCAGCAATTAATGAGACCAGCTCAGTGTTTATGCAGCCTTAGCTTTAAATGCCAGTAAACTCCAGTACTATTTTCTCAGTAGTAAATATTTCTGCCAGTATGTAAAAGGCAGTAAGGAAATCCTGTCAGGAATTGAACAACTAGCTAACTTCTTGATTTGAAATATACAACTAGTTGAAATGTATTGATTTGTTATAGAAATTATCCATGTTAGAAGGTGCTAAATCCAAGATATTTTCTGGAATGATCTCTTCAGGCTTTATACAGTTGGACAAGTAATGTTTTGTTAGTAACATTGTTCACTATTCTCACATGTATCTTGATGTATTTGGTATATTCATACATCCCAATTCTGTGCTGCAAATAATAATGTGACAGTTCCAGGACCCATCTGAAACAACATTATAAAACCAAAGGTAAACAGAGTTTGATCTTAAGACTCAGAAATACAATTTTTTGTTTTTTTTTTAACGTTCTGAGATCGTGTAACTCAAAATTTTTGCACATCTGAGGCTGGCATGGCTGGGGGCAAGGTACTATTTGATTTAGTTCTCTCACCATACTGGACATGTGAAGATATTTTTACTTCAGTGAATATACAGACAGGGCAAAATGCCTCTTGGGAGCTATTGTCTAGTAGGTAAACAGCAACACATGCTACCCTGGTTTTCTTCCTACCAGTTTCCAAGGTAATGCAAGGACTGTTGTGTTTCATCCCATCTTTGAAGAAGGAGTAAGTGGGCTAATGTTAGGGACCACTCATATTTGATGGACTCTGGTAGAAGAGTTAAACTGATTACACTGTACTTGAATTTTATAGTTTATAGTAACTGGCAGACTGTTCTGAGCTGATGTCTAGACACTTTTTATCTCATCTAAATCAAAATAAAATAAAATAGCACAACACATAATGAGGTCTGTGCAACTTTGGGACTCAAGATTTCCCATGGAACGCTATAAGGAACATTGCTCTGCTCTGAAGCAAGTAGTTCACTTTTGAATGGTGTAATAAATAATAATAAAGCTATTATTATTATTAGGGTTACTGCTCTATTTTTGGACCTTGGCAGTTTCAGATTTTTTTTCTGTGTTAAGCCTTTTACTTCAGACTTTTTGTGCTAATACAACTGTACCTAAAAAGACCTACAAAATTCCACTGTCCACAGAACAAAACCCAAACACAAACCTGAACAATTATTTCATGGTTGACAGCAATCAGTAACTTATCATCACACTAGGTGTAACAATTCAGAAAACTTGACAATATGTAAATTATGAATTATATGGATTATTGAATGCTTCTGTATGTAAGGAGTCACCTGCATTTCAGGCAACAGATTGCATTAACACCTACTTAAGCAGCGTGTCTTAGGACACTGGATGAATTAAAGCCTTCAGAAAGCAATCCAGTATAGTTTATTTGAAAGGATAGGAACTGAAGCAATGGAATTTTCTTTCTTGCATACAAAACCTAAAGGATGAGCATTATAAGCAAGTTCCTTGTTTTCTAGTTATGAAACTGGAGAGGTGATAGTCCTGAAAAGGACCCACTGGCATTGGAAGCTTGCTGGGGAAAAAGCCACAGAGAAAACAGAGCTTATCCAAAGGTTAACTGGATAAGGAGGAAAGAAGCAGAGCGTAGGAAAGAAAAATTTGCTCTGATTCAGAGGAGAATAGTGCAGAAGAAGGAATCCTGAGTTTCTCACATGAATCTGAACTAAAATGCTTACAATTGTGCTAGGAAATATTTGAGGCACGTAGATTTATGTAGCATACTTTGGGTGGGGTTTTTTTGAATTTTTTACATTTCTTACGCTATCAAGCCAAACTACTTGTTTTTTTTTTGCCATCTTTACAAGGTCTAGAGGTTTCTCTGTGTTTTAGCTATTATTCATCCCCTGCTTAATAGCGTGTAATGCCTTTATAATGAATTGAGTCATGGCAATGAACTCTAGGTTGCCTCTTAGACAAGAGGAAGTTATGCTGCCCACAGACAGTGTTTCAGTCTGTCTGACTAGAGACACAAGAAAATGCCGTTCCTTCATTTCACATTTGTTCACATTTGAGAATTCACCTTATCTGTGCACACTTTGAGGACTAGCAGTGTAACAATTTTAACCAAAAGTCAGTATTTTACAGAAAGAAGTGAGGTAGCAGGCAACCACTCTCATGATT